TGAGTGGAACCTGTCCTGTTAAACTGCTGTATGGTCTTGGCCACCTTAGGGTCTTGGCAATCTTCTTATAGCTTACGCCATCTTTATGTAGAGCAACAATTCTTTTTTTCAGATCCTCAGAGAGTTCTTTGCCATGAGGTGCCATGTTGAACTTCCAGTGACCAGTATGAGAGAGTGAGAGCGATAACACCAAATTGAACACACCTGCTCCCCATTCACACCTGAGACCTTGTAACACTAATGGGTCACATGACACCGGGGAGAGAAAATGACTAATTGGGCCCAATTTGGACATTTTCACTTAGGGGTGTACTCACTTTTGTGGCCAGCGGTTTAGACATTAATGGCTGTGTGTTGAGTTATTTTGAAGGACAACAAATTTACACTGTTATACAAGCTGTACACTCACTACTTTACATTGTAGCAAAGTGTCATTTCTTCAGTGTTGTCACATGAAAAGATACAATAAAATATTTACAAAAATGTGAGGGGTGTACTCACTTCTGTGAGATACTGTATATAAAGATAATATTAGTAATTTTAAAATTTATCTAATTTTCACTTCAAATTGTTCTGATAAATTCTTCTCTCCTCTACTAAAACTGCTCTAACGCTTTCACTGGTGAGTGCCCCCAGAGTTGTCACACCCATGGTCAGCTCTGTGTTCCTGTCTTGTGTTTTTCTCCTCATGTGCTCTTCATGACCTAGTTTTCACTCGTGTATTTCATACCCTTATTTGGTTCTTCCTGTTCCTATTGAGTTCCATTTTTTTCAGCCGTGTCTTGTTAATTCCCTTGTTTAGTTCCGTTTACTTAAGCCCAGTGTTTCCTGTGTCTAGCGTCCTGTGTTAAACGTCATTCCCAGTGCTATGTGTTTTTCTTTGTGGTTTCGATAAATAAAGACTGTATTTATGGGAATTCTCCTATGACTCCTCGTCTCCTCGCTCCACTCTTGTGAAACGTGACAGAACACCAGACCTATACAAGATGACAGAGGCTGAGGACAGACTGTGGTGTTTGCGGCAGGCTGGTCGGAGGTTGGAGAGATATGTGGAGGAATTCCTTGAGCTGTCCAACCTGTGTGTTTCCAGCTGGGGCTGGACGATGATACGATCCGCTGCGATCTCCCGACATGTGATGTTCCCCTGATCGAGCTGATTGGTCTCGTCCTTTATTTAAACGGTTCCGATTACAAAGTGGAAGAAGTAAAGGAAAATTTAAAGTCTCCTAGTCCAGCCCCCTCTGAAACAAGTCATGTCTCCCCAGCTCACCCCACGCCAGGTACCCCCACATACCTCACCAGTGGCTCCGACCACCTGCCCAACCTAAGGCACCCCCCGAGTTCACTGAAGCTCCTTCCTGGTCCTCAGCCCAGAGCCGCCGGCCGCTCGGAAGTCAAGGCCGCCAGCCGCTGCACTCTCAAGCCCGCAGGCTGCTCCATTGTCAAGCCCGCCAGCCGGTTCACTCCCAAGCCCTCAGCTGACAGCAACAGTCTCCTTCACCGCTGCTCAAAAAAGGAGAATGTGGAGGAAGCTCCAGTGTCGGCTCCAGCCTCTATTCCCGCATCCAGCCCAGAGGGGGCTCATGTTCCCATGTTAAGCCCAGAGAGGGCTCCTGTTCCCAAACCAAGCCCAGAGAGGGCTCCCGTTCCCACGTCTAGCCCAGATAGGGCTCCTATTCCCGAGTCATGCCCAGAGAGGGCCCCTGTTTCCGAGTCGAGCCCAGGGAGGGCCGCTGCTCCTACGTCAGGCCCACGGAGGGCCTCAGGAACCGAAATTTCCCCCAAGGAATTTTTTTGGTGGGGCTATAGAGCTCCGGCCGTAGAGGTCGGGCTCAGTGCCGAGGCCAAGGCCATGGAGGCCGCTCCGCCATGGCCCCCTGAACTGTCTGCTCCGCCATGGCCCCCTAGTCTGCCTGCTCCACCACGGCTCCCTAGTCTGCCTGCTCTGCCATGGCTCCCCAAACTGTCTGATCCGCCATGGCACCTGGAGCTGCCTGATCCGCCATGGGTCCCAGATCCGGTACTGCCCTGGAGGCCGTCCGTCTCACGTAAGCCTGTCCGTAGAGGCCTCCAGAGCGCCCCCCCCCTCCCCGGTGGATGTTATGAGGCGTGTGGATGTGCCTTCCGGGAGGGGGAGGTAATGTCACGCCCATGCTCTATGTTCCTGTCTTGTGTTTTTCTCCTCATGTGCTCTCCATGACCTAGTTTTCCCTAGTGTGTTTCATGCCCGTATTTGGTTCTTACTGTTCCTGTTCATATTGAGTTACATTTGTTTCAGCTGTGTCTTGTTAGTTCCCTCATTCAGTTCCGTTTACTTAAGCCCAGTGTTTCCTGTGTCTAGCATCCTGTGTTAAACATC